ACCACCCACCACCCACCACCCACCACCCACCACCCACCACCCACCACCCACCACCCACCACCCACCACCCACCACCCACCACCCACCACCCACCACACCGTCATCGCTCACTATGGTGATGGTGGTGGCAGGCGGGGTGAGGAAGAACGCGCAGTTCATGCACCACGGCCACACGGGCGTGGGCAGTCCGGGTCTGGGCCTCGGCCCGCAGCAGTCGCAGCACCTGCTGGCCCTGCCCAGCGGGCGACCGGGCATGGAGGGTCTCGCGGAGGTGGGCGGCGTCGACGGACCCGACTCGTCGCAGCCGGCGCGCGGCCGGTCGACCTCCCTCCCGGCCTTCCCCGTGGCCGCCTCGACCACCACCGCGCCGGAGAACGCCGGCGAGGAAGCCTGGGTCTACCACTTCCCGCCCATCGGCTCGCTCCACTCCATGGGGCCGCTCCACCCTCCGCCCGGCATCTACGCCAAGCGCTCCTCACCGCCCATCCCGCTCGGAGGTAGGGACATTCACCGCACGACACACGCCTCGACACGACACAACACGACACACAGCACGCCGCTAACGTATTGACATGAATAACGACCAGGCGAGCCGATGTGGAATCCCAACAATGGGATGACGAATCCGGGGATGGCGGGTGGCCAGCTGCCCAACGGCGCGGACCCGGGTCCCTACCCGCCGAACGGGATGCCGCGATACTACGGCGCGCTGCCGCCCATGTACCAGCTCCAGCAGCGGTTCATTCCGGCGCCGGCGCCCGGTTCGTCGTGGCGTCCCAACACCGCCAACCCGGCCACCTCCCTCCCACCACAGCGCCAGCCTTCGGCCTACCTTGCCGAGAACCGCAGTACGTCGTCGCCCTGTGTGTCGTCGCCTGTGTGTTGGTCGTGTCGTGTCGTTCGTGATCTAATGCCTCGCTGTGATGCGTGTGTTGATCGTCGACGACGATGCAGTGCCGGCGATGGGTGGAATGGGGCCGGGCGCGATGAACGGCATGAACCCGATGGGCGCCCACGTCCCGATGAACGGCGCGCTGTTGCCCGGCATGCCGCAATCCGCCGGACAGAACCCGCACGCGCACCAGCACCAGGTGCACCCTCACCCGCACCCGCACGTCCAGTCTGTCAGCCCCGTCACGCCCGGTAGGCCACCATACAATTAATTATAATTAATGACTTTATCATTCATTTGCTGACCCATTTACTTTATTATTACTTTATTATTTCTGCTCGCAGGTGCGTCGTTGTCCGCTCAGCCGGCCGGGCCGCCCATCCTCTCGCCGCCCACACTGACGATCGCGACGGTGGCGAGCTCGGTGGCGCCGTCAGCAAGCGGCAGCCTCTCGTCGCCGCAGGCCCAGATGGCCGCTGCCCACCAGGGCCTGGCGCCGCCCAACAAGCAGCAGCCACAGCCGCCGCAGCAGTCGGGCATGCTGGTGCCGCGGGGTCCTCGCGAGCGGGGCATCACGTACCCGCCCGTGGGCGTGAAGAAGGCCATGTCCCCAGCCGCCCTGCCCACGCCCCTCTCCTACCGCAACGCCGCCAGTCAGGCCTCGTCGGGCGTCGCCTCCGACTCCAATAATGGTGCCGGGCGCAAGGTCGGACGCGCTCGCTCCGACTCCATCGACGAGGTGCGCACCGCACACACGCATGACACACACAACGCACGCACACGGGGCCTCGCGTGCTTATATTATGCTGCGTGTTTGTGCGTCGTGAGCAGAAGGACGGTGATGCGTCGCAGTTCTCGCTGGACATTCAGAAGGTCAACGACGGGCGTGAGAGGCGGACCACGCTCATGATCAAGAACATCCCCAACAAGTACTCCCAGAAAATGCTCCTGGCCGCCGTCGACGAGCACCACCGGGGCAAATACGACTTCTTCTACCTCCCCATTGACTTCAAGGTAATCGTCACCCTCTCGTGCGCTTCACTCTCTCGGCGCTGACTCGCCTGGCTACCACACGCACACACCGCACACGACACACGATAGAACAAATGCAACGTGGGGTATGCGTTCATCAACTTCATCGATTGCCTGTCGATCGTGCCCTTCTACGACGAGTTCCACGGCAAGAAATGGGAGAAGTTCAACAGCGAGAAGGTGTGCGCCATCACCTACGCACGCATTCAGGGAAAGGTACCGACCACGTCCATGGGACCTCAAACCGACCCACACCCACACACCACCCACACACCACCCACACCACCCACACACCACCCACACACCACCCACACACCACCCACACACCACCTCCTTCGTCGTCGTCTGACTTTGTACCAACGCACACAACCCAACACAAAACCATCAGAATTCCCTGATCGGGCACTTCCAGAACAGCAGTCTGATGTGCGAAGACCGCAAGTGCCGTCCCATCATTTTCCACAGCGAGGGACCGCACCAGGGCGAACAGGAACCGTTCCCCGTCGGCAACAACATTCGCATGCGACGCAAGGACAACGAGCGCGGCAAAGTGAACAAAGACAACGACCACAACAAGGTACCTTCCTGACGCCTTACCACCCAAGCCCACAAAACACGCACACACGACACACACACGCACACGCACACGGTCGAGAGCACGCTCGGGCCACTCACATTCGTGTATTGCTCGACTTCTCGCGTCACAGAGCTGAGCGGTGCATGCATGCTCATCACCGTGTCATCAACGGCTATCTGCATAATCCGGTCAGCCATTTTGACTCCCTCTTCCTCTTCTACCACTACAACCACCACCACCACCATCCTCACCATCACCAGTACATCGTCATCATCTTCCTCCTCCTCATCTTCAGCATTCTTCATCTACAATTCTCGATCTCGACTCCGATCCGACCTCCATCATCATCTTCCTCGATTTTGGCTTCTTGTAGAGTCGACGCTTTGGGACGCCCCACATCGTGCGGTGGAACACGGCGTCGCGACCTTCCGTAAAAATCACATCACCCGCTTTTCACGGAGGCGGATCTCGTCATCTTCATCTTCATCTCTTCTTCCTCTTCATCGTCATCATCTTCATCATCACCATCATCTTCCTCGCTATTCGCCCTCTCGGCACTCGACGTACCACCACCGAAGGACTGGGCCGAGGAGAGTCGAGAGAGGGGAGAGGAGCGCGAGGGGGGGCTGCCAATCGACGACACCCCGGGCCGCAACGTTTAGAATATTTCTACCATCTGCCGCGCGCGTGGCATCGCCCGTGTGTCGTCTTCGTCATCATTCCACCACCATCAGCTGCCACTCAAACGACGCAGCTCTGGCGCGCTCCCATTTTGCCCGAACGGCCCCCATCGGCTTCTCCTCCTTCTCTCCTTCGACCATCCCCTCTTCCACTTCGACGGCCGTCAACTGCCTCTCGTGCTCGCATCGATCGAGAGCGACCACGACCAACGACCACGCTCACGTCAGTGGCGACGGCGACGACCTTCCATTCTTTATTTATTCATCACAGGATCACCATCACTGCATCGCTACACCCACAACCTTCTTCATCGGTCCTTGGCTGTGCGTCAGCACGCACGGCCTGGGCGTTTTTTTCTTCCTCCCTTTTTTGTTTGTGTAAAGAGAAGATCACCACCACCACACCCCTCACCTCTGACAATACAAATAAAGTTGACACATAAGAACATGGCCTGCTTCCCTTGTGGTGAATAGATAAATAAACGAGAATTATGCGCTGGAATGAATGGAATTTCAGATAATAGGAGAATGCGAGGAATGTGCGGAAAGGGAAAAAGTGCGGAAGGCAATTCGAGAGCGGTCCTTTTCGCTTCGGCCTCTGGTGGTGTGAGATTCAAGAGGAGGACGGAAAGAGCATTAGAGAGCCGCACAGAGCAGCATGCGTATTGAGAAGTGCTGGTTTTGCGGTAGCCCCGTCTACCCCGGTCACGGTATCGCGTTCGTGCGAAATGATGCAAAGGTACCCCGCCCCATCATTCTACGGAGAATTTTCGTCGATTAATCAAAATCGATGACGATTGGAGTTTGATCGCCCTTGGGGCGCCTTGATTGCTCACCTCAATCTCTCTCCAGGTGTTCCGCTTTTGCCGATCTAAATGCCACAAGAACTTCAAGATGAAGCGCAACCCGCGAAAGCTCAGGTGGACGAAGGCCTTCAGGAGGGCTCACGGCAAGGAGATGGTGGTGGTGCGTACTTCTATCTTTCAAATCGGCCATCTTCACACATCATCCTCACCACCTTGGTTCGGTGGTGCGCACAGGATTCTACTCTCGAGTTCGAGAAGCGCCGCAACAGGCCCGTGAAGTACGATCGGGACCTCGTCAGACACACCCTGCAGGCCATGAAGCGGGTGGACGAGATCAAGGGCGCCAGAGAGAAGTCTTTCTACCGCCAGAGGTTCGTTCGAAGCTTCTTCCATTTCTTCTTCTCCTGCGCCCATTTCATCATTTGATTCCATTTCGATTTTCAATTCCGCCTGGCGCTACGTTTTCTGTATTATTTTATTAATCTTTTTCTTTCTTTTTGTGCACAGGATGAAGGAGGCGAAGACACAGGAGGCCAAGGCCAACCTGCGCGACCTCCAGAAGTACAAGCAGAACGTCATCAAGGTCCCCGCGTCGATCGTCAAGACGCCGACCAAGGTCAAGGTGCTCGCTGCTCCGGCCAAGATGGAAGTCACCGACAACTAGGGACCGTGGTAGCCACCAGAAAGCCCTTTCGATTGACTCTATCAGACGCGACCCCTCCGGATTCTCTTTGCTTGCTCGCTTCCTCTTCTTCTTCTCCTTCCCATTCTGTTCTACTTCTCTTCTCCTCCCTTCCCTCAACACTCTTGCTCTTGCTCTTGTACCTAAAAGAAGACGCCTCCGATCACACACCACACCATACGTCGCCCACTTTTCTCTGATGTACATTGGCGAACCGCGGTTGTTCACACCTTTCTCCTTTCTTCTTCTGCTTCTACCTCTTCTCCTTGTCGAGGAACTGGAGCGCGAGGAAGGCCACGACCAGGTAGAAGGCCGTCATGCCGCCGAGCACGCCCACGTCGAGCCACACGGAGAAGCCCTCCGTGGTCTGCGCGATGATCACCTCGCCGGGCACCCCGTTCACCACACGCCCGACAAACTCGTTGTACACCAGCGCCTCGAAGCCGTACTGTATGTAAACAAAGAAGAAAGAGTGAAGAAATGAGATGCGAACTGACGCGTGTACACCGCACGCACGCACGCACGCACGCACGCACGCACGCACGCACGCACGCACGCACGCACGCACGCACGCACGCACGCACGCACGCACGCACGTACACCGCACGCACGCACGCACGCACGCACGCACGCACGCACGCACGCACGCACAGAAATATAAACAGCACTGATGGATACCTTGATGAACGAGGCGTACTTGGCCGGCGCGTAGTAGGACGGGATGGAGTTGGTGTTGATGACGAACCCGGCGAAGATGAAGAACACGCCGAGGGTGAAGGCGAAGCCCACCTGGGCCACTTGCACGGTCCGGGTGAGGCCCGAGATGGCGAAAATCAGGGCCTGCGCCGTGTCGCCCCGGGCTGATCAGCTAGGCTCTCTCTCAAGCTCATGGCCACAGCAGCGTTCGCTCAAGGCATCACGTGCAACGCGTGTTGGCTACGTACCTCGGCACTCCAGGCGGCAAGTGTGATGACAAGAACGAAGAAGGCGAAGTAGTGCCACATGTCGCGCCGCAGGCCCACCATCCAATACACGATCGTACATTCTGTCCACCAGCCACCAGCCACCACCACGATTAGCATTTCCCCGTAGCTCTATGCATGGTACCCAGCATCGACGACTGGTTGGCAAGAGGTCGAGTCGAGTACCGATAGCAACGAGTACGGCGATGAAGGAAAAGGCGACGATGACCTTCGAAACGAAGTAGGACAGTGCCACGTACATCCCCGACGCCCTCTCCCTGCATCCGTGGTGATTAGTTGGTTGTTGGTTGTTCGCTCTCTTTCGCCGAGTGATGATCGTTGTGCTATGTCAAAGGTAAGAAGGTGGTCTACACGTACCGATGGAAGACGGCGTTCTGCTCCAGGTAGCTGGCCACGCTGCTGAACGAGGTGAAGGAGAGCATGGTGATGGTCATGTAGATCACCCCGAGACAATTCTGCACGTAGAGGTGGTCCTCCTCCAGCTGGAACCACAGAGACCCTACGAACACGTTTCATAATGGTTAACAATTATTATCCAAAATAAGAAAAATATAGTAATAAACAAAAATAGTAATAAATGTAAATAAATGAATAAGAATGGAACGAAGGGTACCCATGACGAAGCCCATGGCCACCTGCACCAAGAGGCGCGAGTAGAACAGGTCCGGGTGGCGTCGCAGGTACAGAAGCTCCCTGCAATCCGCCCAACCGCCGGCCGTCAGTTTCTTTGTACACTTGAGAGTGGGCAAGCAGCGATTACCTCAAAATCAGAATCCACACCTGCGCGATGATCGAGACTCCAACGCTGTCTGGCTTGATCGCGTTTTCCTTCTTCTGCGCGGCGCCATAGATGGAGAGACGATGATGAGCGAGCGAGCGCGCGCGGTGAAGGAAAATGTGCGGGCAAGCAAGTAGGAGGTCGGTACGTAGTATTCTTGCGGCCGGCCGCGCGTTCGGCTCCGAGGTCCTTGGTCACGGCCTGGTACCAGGTCGACTGCTTGTACTGGAAGGCCAGCTCCGAGGTCGACGGAAACATCGCGTCAGCCTCGGTGCGCTCCTCCGACGACTGTTGCCCCCACCAACTCGGTTAACACGACACACACGACACACACGACACACACGACACACACGACACACACGACACACACGACACACACGACACACACGACACACGACACACACACGGAAGAAGGAAGACGCACGACATCGTTGATGCTTTCGCTTCCGATCATGGGTGATCGGGGAGTGACAATGGAGACCTCGGTGCTGGTGTGATCGCCCTGCTCGAGCGCCTCCTGACGCCGCGCGTGGAAGGCGATGTCGAGGATGAACTCGGCCGGGTTGGACATGGGCGGCGGCCGGATGCCCAGGCCGGAGAAGTAGTCCACCGCCTTGTCGGCCTTGCCAAAGTAGATCACGCGGCCCTGACTCAGAAGCAGCAGCTTATCGAAGGCGTTGAACATGTGCGACGACGGCTGGTGGATCGTGCACAGCACCGTGCGCTGGCCCCGCGTGGCCAAGCTCTGCACAAACACATTTAAAGGTTATTTTTAATCTCTATCTCTGCGCTCTAAAGAAATAAAGCACACGTGAGGCGGGCGCGCACCTTGAGGAGCTGCACCAGGTCGGTGGCGCCGTTGCTGTCCAGGCCCGACGTGGGTTCGTCCTGTGTGACACATCGCACACGCACAACATCGTACACGCACGCAACACCCAAGGCAAGGCGAACGTCAGGCGACCGACGAATGAGTCCAACTGCACGGCCAGGGAAGCGAAAATAGGGTGAAGTGCAGTGAGTACCAGGAAGAGCAGGGACGGCGAAGAAACGAGCTCGATGGCGATGGCCACGCGCTTGAGTTCGCCGCCGGAGATGCTGCGGCTCGATGACCCACCCACCCGCGAGTCGGCGATGTGCGTCAGCCGCAACTCGGCCATCACCTGCAGCAGCACTGGCGTCAGCTACTCGCCAGCACTACTGTGTCGTGTGTCGTGTGTCGTGTGTCACAGCGCTTCGCGTACCCGGTCCACGCGCTGCTCCTTCTCGGCCCGTGTCATTTTAGAGGGCAGCTTCAACCGCGCGGCGTAGGAGATGGTCTCCCTCACCTGCGTCGTGGTGGGCGTACGGGTGAGTTGTGCGGGGGGGGGAGGTTGACAGATCTTGCATGTAGAAGGATTGAAAATGTACGGTGAGGGTCTCGAGCATGATGTTGTCCTGCATGACGTAGCCCGACACGCGGCGGAAGAAGGCCTGCCGCTTGGCCACCGGCTCGCCATTCAGGTTCACCTCGCCGCTCAGGCGTCCTACACCAGCAACCTCCTTCGTTAATCAACAGAAAAAGCAAAATAAAACAGGGAAAACAAACAAAAACTGCCAAACAAGTCGTCGTGGCTTGTTGCAACAAGGCGTACCCTTCATCCCGCGGCATGCCAGCACGTCGATGAGGGTAGTCTTGCCCGCACCTGCGATGGGCCGACAGTGAGCTCGGTCGGCCAAGTCAGGAAAGCTCCAAAAATGGTGCAGTCATTTTTTTGTCGACTGAAGGCGGGAAGGGTACCTGAGGCACCCATGATGGCGCACAGCTCGCCGGGGTAGACGATGCCCTCCACCCCACGCAGCAGCTTCTTCATCCCATCTTCTTCCTCCTGCGCCGCCTCATCGTCGGCGATGAGCGTGTCTTGTTCGTCTGGCTCGCCGGTCAGTCCCTCCTCCGCGTCTCGCAGACCCAGCTCTTCGGCGTCGGCGTAGGTCGAGTTTCGTCGCTTCCGGCGTCGGCGCTGGTGGGCTGGTACACCACCCTGGCTTGCTGACGTGGCCGACGTCTTGAATGGGAGCCAGCTCTGCCACCCGCCTGCCGACGTCGAGGCAGGTTGTGGAATGGCGTAGTGAAGGTTCTCCCAGCTGAGGGTGACCCTGGGGAAGGGTCTGCTGTGGTCCGGCTCGGTGTTGTTGTTGGTGGTGGCTTGGACCGGGAGATGGAGGGTCGGCACGTGTAGTGCCCTCTGGCTCCACTCTTCGGCGCTCGCGGTTTGCATCTCAACCTTCTTGTTCAAGGCAAACGTACGAGTGGTGGTGAGGAGTTGTGGTGTGTGTGTGGTCTGTCTGGTCCTTGTGTGTAGTGTGGTAGAGTCGGCCGGTATGTTCGTTCTGGTTGTGGGAGTGAGTTCGAGAGAAATGTTTCGCCAAAGAGCCGGTTGTACAGGTTCTGCACGCAAGTTTAGCTGAACGAGTGATTGGTGGATGCTGGAGGTGCATCGAGGCCGATCACAGGCCGCAAATAGAGTGACCGTTGGTTCGACGGTGAGCCTAGTGCAAGTCATTTCATCACTCCGAGTTTAGAAACAGGTACCTAAAGTCGGCAAGCCGTGAGACGGAGCTCGCGCGTATTCCGCTGATTGGTCCATTTAGCAGTGGCTCGGGTGAGCGTGGTCCTGATGGACTTTCCGCCAAAGATAGGGCAATGCTAAAGATAAAGATAGGGACTAGCACAATTGCGTACAACAAGGTAATTCTTGGAAGTGAACATCGATTTTAACCAGGTAATATTGTGAGAAATTACAAGGAAAGCTGGTCACGCTGCGCTGATGGCAGCTGTGGTAACGTAATCTTCACAGTTCTCCTTGGGTGGTGGTTCGACGCCTTTCTCCTTGTATGTGGCGCTGTCCTTGCTCTTGGTTTCCTCCTTCTTGGTGGTTTCTTCCTTGTTGGCTTGCAGGCCGTCGTTGCGGTCTGCAGCCTTCTTGTTCTTGTGTCGGGCGGCCTGCTTAGCGCGATCCAGCTCGGCCTCGACGAACCGCTCCACGTTGTCGATCGCTGCCTGCGGGTCGAGCTTGTGTCGCAGCAGGAAGCCCTGCAGGCTGGCCATCGACAGCCGCTCCTCGGGCACCAGCTTCGCGAACTGCCGCGCCAGCTGGTCCACCTCCGCCAGGCGCCGCTTGCCGTCGTCTTCGTTCTTCTTGTCGTCTTCGCTGTCGTCGTCGCGTTCGTTCTTCTGGGCCTCCCACGGGTGGTAAAAGTAGGCGAACAGGCGGCGCACTTGGTCCCGGCGGGCCAGTCCCACGTAGATCGCCATGTCCACGCGGCCCGGCCGGGTGAGCGCCGGGTCGAGCAGCTCGCGGTGGTTGGTGGTCATCAGCACCAGCGAGCCCTCGAACGCCACGGCACCGTCGAGCGCGTTGAGCAGGCCGCTGAAGGTGACCTTGTTCTTGCTGTGCGACTGGTCGACGTTCTTCGTGCGCTGGATGAAGGCGGCGTCGATGTCCTCGAGCAGGAGGATGCTGCCCTTGGGCATCTTGCGCATGAACTCCTGGAGCGAGTCGTCGTCGAGGCTCGCGCTGGCCAGGCTGCACACGCACAGGTTGAGGCCCAGCTCGCCGGCCAGAGCCGTGGCGAAGCTGCTCTTGCCGCAGCCGGGCTCGCCGTAGAGCATGTAGCCGCGCCGGTGCGGAATGCCGCGCCGCTTGTACCACTCGCCCATGGCCAGGAACTCGCGCACGTCGGCCACCAGCTCCTCGACCACGCCCTCGGGGAAGTGCACCGACGCGATGGCGCGTCGCTCGACAGCCATCAGCTTGCGCCAGCTGCCGACCGGGTAGCAGTTGAGCTGCGGCTGGAAGAGCACCACCTTGCCCATCTCATCGCCCAGCGCAAAGGCAATGGCGTCGGCAGCGAGGTCCTTGAGCACCTGCGGGTCGCGACCGAAGGTCTGCAGCTTGATGGTCTCCTTCAGCTCGAGCCTGTTGTTCCCGCTGTTCTCCTTGACTACTCGCCGCACGGTGATCCACCGCTCGCGGTAGCGCAGGAAGTGCTGGCCAGGCGCAGGGCCGAAGTGGAGCTGGGGCTTGGTGGCAGCCTCGGCGCCGTTCCAGCGGTCTTGGCGGTTGTCGCGCGTGGTGAGCATGCTCAGGTCGCGTCCGTTGGCGCGCTCGGTCTGGTGAGCGAGCCACTTCATGATCCACGCGAAGGCCTCGTCCTCCTTGCGCACCTCGAGCGACACGACGAACTCGCGCCAGAACCGGTCCCACAGCCACTGGGCAGCCCGGCTCACGTAGGCCGCGACCATTCCCACCAGGACGAGCATGAGACCGCCAGAGAAGGCGTCGTTATCCGCCAGCGCGCCGATCCGACCGCGGAGGTACGCGCCCGCCAGTTGTTCGGCCATCGAGTGCAGTGGTTAGACTGTGTGTATACAGGTAAATGGTGGTTCGTTGACGGGGTGTGGTGACTTTAAAAAGGAACCTGGGCAAGAAAATACCTGGCCTTGTCGGGGCCAAGTGGGTGGTTCGGGGTTCGCTGAATTGGGACCTGCCCGCTGCCTGCTCCTTGGTATCGGGGAACTGGGAATTGATGCATCAACTTGCCATCAGTACTGTCCTTGAAGACTCATGTATCACTCGGCCGACTGTCCGGCATCACCCTCCACCAAGGTCGCAATGCGCCGATTCGGATCCATTGTGTTAATACCCAAAAAAGGAAAGTGGCAACTTGACATGGTGGTGGTTCGAGTCCCGCTCTGTCCCGAAATGGAAACGAAATAAAGCCAATAATATTCTACACGCTCATCTAATCGGAACAGATGATGGAATCGGGAAGGAGCGCGGCAGGGACGCCTCTGCAGAGGGTGCGTCTCCAATTCCATACCCCGGACTTCGATCTGGGGCCGCTGCAGAGGACCTGGCTGTTGGTGCCGCCATCTGCCCGGGAGGTAAACGATCTCGCCTGGCTCATTTGCGATAAATTCAAACTCAAAAAGCAATGGCAAGAAGGTGCCGCCCCACTCTCCTATCTCTCCGTTTGCACAACCGCTATACTGACTGGTATTCAGGAATCCTGCTCGAGATGGAGAGATTTGCACTTCCGCTCACTGATCCAATCGAGATTTTGAGAGACAACGACACCATCACGTACATCTTTTTGCACAAGTGTTCCCTTCCCTAAAGCCTTCTGATCGCTGCTTGGTGTTTCTTATTCTTATCGCCGTAGGGTCCGTAAGAAGAAGGGAGCGACGCTCAAGCGTAGAAGGGACCACCAGCCCCTTCCCTTAGTACACGTACGTCGTTCAACGACATGTTCACAACCTTGCCAAGCTTTGTTGCACCGTTGCTTGCCTGATCTCACACTCTGTCGCCGCACACGCACCACCGCACACGTTCGCACAGAACCTGGACGGTGAGGCGAATGGACACAGTAAGTCGCCGGAGAAGACGAAGCGGAGGAAGGACGGCACGGAGGTCGACGGAGCACAGCCGCCACGCAAGCATAAGACGGCCGAGAATAAGGAGAACGAGAGGGACCAAAAGGCGAAGGCGAAGGCGAAGGAGAACGAAACAGAGAAGAAAAAGAACAAAGAGAAGGAGAACGAAAAGAAAGCGGAGAAGGAGAAGGAGAAGGAGGAAGAGATAAAGAAAAAGACGGAAGAAAGAAAGAGGAGGAGGAGGAAGAAGAAAGCTCAAGCTCGGAGGACGAGAGCTCCAGTTCGGAGGACGAGTCGTCGTCATCCTCGTCGTCCAGCTCCTCCGACGAAGACTCGAGCTCCGACGAAGACCAGGCAAAGGCCAAGGAGCCCGAACAGCCGGCCAAGCCCCAGCAGCAGCAGCAGAATGCCGGCAGGCCGCAAGCGCAGCCGGGCACACCGGCGAAGGGCCACGTGCGCTTCGGCCCAGATGGTGGCGCCCAGCACGCAACCCCGCCACCGCCGGCACCGCACCAGCCACCACACCAACCCTCGCCAGACCAGTTTCGATGGGTACGCACTCACGCTCGCCGCCGCACGCACCACCGCACACGCTCACGCTCCGCAAACAGAACCAGGGGCGCGGCCGAGGGAGAGGCGTACCATCACCAAGCGGTGGTCCGTTTCCACCTCCGTCGCATATGATGGGTCGCGGACGGGGCCGCGGCTTTGGCGGGTTCGACCCGGCGGCCGGGCGAGGAGGCAGCGGGCGCGGGGCCTGGGGGCCGCCCAACAACGGCGGATACCTACCCCAGCCCCCGTACCCAACTCCGCCCTATGGTGCGCCGTACGACGCTCACCAAGCACCAGGTGCGTTTCTTGTGGGTCGTGCCATCGTGTTGTGTCGTTGGTCGTGCCGTGCGTGTCCTGCGGTTTGAGTCTGACGCATACACACTGCGTAGGGCTGCTTCCATCTCCGGATCGGCCAGCTCCGCAGGCGTGGGGCAGCGACATTGCCTACGCCGCGGGCTTTGCGTCGCAGCCGTCCGGGGTCCAGTCACCCTTCACTCCAGCCACCGGCCACCAGCCCCAGCAGCACGGTGGTGGTCACAACGGAGACCTACGCTACGGCCAGCAGCAGCAGCAGCAGCAGCACGAGGCCACGCCGCCGCCGATCGTCACGTATTCGTCTTCGCTTGATTGGAAGAAGAACACCCACCCGTCGTACGCGCCACCGCCGCCGCTCGAGCCGCCCAAGGACTACTCCCGCTGCCCGCCCTTCCCAGCCTCCGACCGTAAGCCGCGAGTGCGTACCCCCGGCCTCTCTCTGTGCGCGTGTGGCGTGTGGCGTGTGCGGTCGTGCGTGTGTCGTATGCCGTGTCACTCCCCTCAGCTCTCCTTAGTTGGTCACCAAAGCTGATGTCTTGGGTGATGTCACCATTGTCGCAGCGCGGGGACGTTATCGCGTACCAGATATTGGAGATGAAGGACGGCGGGCCGTCCTACTCGGCACACAAGGTTCGTACACGTGTGGTGTCGTGTTGTGCTTTGTTTTATTGCCATCGGTGCGATTGGTTGGTTGCAATAGAGCTCATCAGCTGGTAAATATGGTGGTGTAGGAAGCGACGGTAGAGTTGTACGACGCGGGGACGTCGATGGTGTGTGTGCGCGCCAAGAACCTCTCGTCGGTGCCGCTCGACGGATCCTACGTGGCTTCGGAGGAGGACCGTGCGGCCCTCTTCGAGAGCTCCGTCAACCTGGCCTGGGACCAGCTGGCCGACGTAAGGCTGTTGTCCTCTTCATGATGACGTCGCCCGACGAGAAAGGAAAGAAATAAAAGAAAAAGAAAATGGGTGCCCAGCGCTGGTCGGCACAAAACAAAAAGATAAAAGAAAAAGCGCAGAACGACGGAAAATGCTGTTATTCGATTTTTTGGATTTATTTTTCGCAATCGCCGGCATTTCCGATTGTGGCCGGGCATCAAGAAGAGATCTAAGAGAGCAAGCCCGAACAAAGATGGGAAAAGCAAAGGGAGGAAAGAAGCGCCCTCTGTCGAGCGCGCCCAAGAAGGCCGAGCCGAAGATCAATCCCTTCGAGCGGAAGATTGTGAGACCGAAATTCTCGGTGCTGGGCCGCAATCTCAAGGAGACCGAGAAGACGGCAGGCCAATCGCGTCAGGTGGCAACCGAATCGGTACGGTTGCGCCTCAAATCTCCTCAAATCGTCCAGACATCTCCATTCAATTTCATCCGCAATTTTCTTCCATCTGCGATTAATGCTGTTTTTTTGTTCAATCATGTGCAGCGTAAGTCGACCCTGCTGAAGGAGTACGAGCAGCTGGGCAAGGCCAACAAGTTCGTGGATCAGCGTATCGGTGAGAAGGACAAGTCGCTCTCGCGCGAGGACAAGGCTCTCCAGCGTTTCCAGAAGGAGCGACAGGTGCGGCACTCCTCACCGCTACTCGCGTCATCTTCTTCTCCTTCGTTTCCTTTGTAGAGCCTCGTTTCCATTCCATGTGGCAGCTTCACCCACCTTCTTCTTCTTTTCTTCCTCTACTTGCTTCTTGCCTGCAGGCCCGCTTCAAGAAGAGCGATGTGTTCAACCTCGAGGAAGAGGAGCTTACGCACATGGGCACCTCGCTCTCCAAGATGGACGACTTTGGCGAAGACTTCAAGGACTCCTCCGACGACGAGGAGGGCGGTAACCACTTCTTCTTTCTTCTTCGTTCTTCATCTCTTCTACACCACGTTCTTCTTCTTCTTCTTCATGTTCGTCTTCTACATCGACTCACCGAGTGGTGTGGTTGTGGTGACCTGGCAGGCCACCTGGACGCCGACACGGTCAACTCGCTGCACTTTGGCGGCTTCGAGTCGGACAAGCAGGACGAGGCCGACGGCAAGCGGAAGAGCAAGCGCGAGGTCATGTCGGAGCTGATCGCCAAGAGCAAGTTCTACAAGGCCGAGCGACAAAAGGAGAAGCTCGAGGTCGAGGAGCTCACGGACAAGCTCGACGACGCGTGGCGCGGGCTGCTCAAGCAGGGCGCCTTCGCGGGCATGGTGCGGAACAACCGGCGGGAGGACCCCGTCGACCTCCTCATGAAGAGCCTCGAGCGGGCCAAGAAGGGCGACAAGGGCCTCCAGGTCGCCACATCTGCCGCCGAAGCCTTCGACAGCATGCAGGACGATAACGAAAACAAGGTACCACTCACGACACGACACGACACGCGCCATCGCACACTCTGGCTTGAAGAAAAATGCTAACGTCGCGTTGTGGCACGCACAGGACGACTTCAACATGCTCTTCCGTGAGCTGGCGTTCGAGATGAAGGGCAAGGCCACGGACCGACTCAAGACGCCCGAGGAGATCGCCAAGGAGGAGAAGGAGCGGCTGGAGCAGCTCGAGGTACCTCTCGTCACCACCACCACCACCACCATCATCAGCCCCACCAGCATTACCATTTCCACCACGCGCGTCTTGTCGTGTCTTGGCCGTCAAGACGTGGTCGATGCCAGGCTCATCACTCACCTTTTACCGTTCTCGTGTGTAGCGTGAGCGACTGCGCCGCATGCAGGGCGACGTGAGCGAAGACGAGAGCGAGGATCAGGAGGAGGAAGGAGAAGAGGAGGACGAAGAGGGCGAAGAGGGAGAAGAGGGAGAGGAGGAGGTGGACGGCGAGGAGGAGGATGAAGATGACGATGAAGAAGACGAGGAGGCAGAGAACGCCAAGGAAGCGGAAGCTGAAGACGACGATGAGGACGAGGACGGCGAAGCGGAGGAAGACGCGGCGAGCACGGGCAAGAAGCGCAAGCACGCGATCGATGACGAGGAGGACTACTTCCTCGAGCCCCAGCTAGACGACGACCTCGGCGGCGGCGGCAGCGACGACGAGGACGACGATGAAGATGACGGCGAGGGCGATGACGGCAAGAGGAAAAAGAAGAGCAAGAAGGCGGCCCTGCCCGTGTTCGGGCAGAACATCGAGGATCTGCCCTTCACCTTCGAAATGCCCGAGAACCACAAGGTACCCATTCCCCTCTTTTTCCCTATCCGTGTCGTGTGCGTGTCGTGCGTGTCGTGTCGTGTCGTGTCTGGGCGCGTGCTTATGGACGGCGATTGCGTGCGTTGCAGGCGTTTTTGCACATCGTCAAAGACAGGGACAGCACCCAGCTCGACGTGGTGGTGCACCGTATGCGCGTGTGCCACGACCTCGCCCTCTCGGCCGACAACAGGGCCAAGATCGAGGTACTTTATTACGTTATTTGAAACGCACACGCGTGATCACAGCTGCGCATAGCTTACATTCCATTGGTTGCCACCGACCGCAGCGTCTCGTGGGGATTCTCTACGATCACTTTGCGCACGTGGGCAAGGCCGACAAGGTCGACATGCCGGCGCTGGACGTGCTCACCAAGCACCTGTTCCAGCTCGCGCAGACCATGCCCGACCCCTCGGCCCGCGCCGCCCGTGAGCGTCTCACCGCCATGCAGCAGGCCCTCTACACGCGCCTCACCACCGTTCAGCGTACGCTCCCATCTCCCTGTGTGCGTGTGCGGTGGCGTGTGCGGTACGTGCTGATGAGGTGTTGGTTCGTCATGACGGCAGTGAGTGGTCGCAAGGGAACGTGGCCGTGGCCCGGCGTGGAGGAGCTGCTCTTCCTCAAGCTGGTCTCCGTCATCTTCCCCACCACCGGTGCGTCTCTTCAAATGCAAATAATAAAAATAATAATAATAATAACTGTTGGCTCACGATCCGGCTTTGCCCTCCGACGACAGATTTCCAGCACACGGTGACGACGCCCGCGGTCCTGTTCATCGGCCAGGTGCTGTCCCAGTGCCCGCTGACCAACCCGCTCCACGCCGTGGTCGGCCTGTTCCTGGCCAACCTCGCCTTCCACGTACCACTACCACTCTTCTCACCCATCGCGCGCAGAGCCCGACTAATATGTGATGGCGGCGGTGGTGCAGTACTTGCAAGGCACGGGCCGGTTCATGCCGGAGGTGCTGTTCTTCATCAACGATCTGCTGTCGGTCGCGCTGCTCTCCAACATGCCCTCGGTGTCGGCCCTCGCCGAGACCGTGTCGTCGTTGGTGCGGGAGACCTCGACGGAGCCCTTCCTCCGTCTGGGCTCCTCCGGCGCGGCCAAGCGGCCCAACAAGAAGGCCAGGAAGTCCGTCGACAAAAACGAGGCCGCCGCTGCCGCCATTCCGCCCTTCAACTTTGTCGACATCTTCAGCAAGCTGCCCACCGACACCTACTTCAGCGAGGACACCTTCAAGTACGTGTACCATCTCTTTCGCTTTCTCTTTCTCTTTCGTTTTCGCTTTCGCTTTCGTTTTGTTGACCTTGTGTGGAATGAATGGCACATGCTTGTTATTGCGCAGGTTGCAAGTGCTGCAGACGAGCGCGCGGCTGGTGTCGCAGTTCTCGACGCACTACTTCCAGAACGCCGAGCTGCAGTCGTACCCGGAGATCATCTTCACGCCCTACGCCATCGTCGCCAAGCTGCTCCGCGCGGTGGCCGGGCGTCGCGTGCTGCCGGCGCAGCTCGAGGCCCAGCTGCAGGAGGTCAAGACCAAGCTGGGCACCGGCATCCAGCGCAAGGTCGACCAGCGGCTGCCCCTCAGGCAGAGGCGGAAGCCCGTACCCATCCGCATGCTCAACCCTCGCTTCAAGGACAAGTACGTCGTCGTGCTGTGTGTCGTGTGTGTCGTGTGTCGTGCTGTGCCGTGTGCGCGTGTCGTGTCGTGTCATGTGCGGTTGCTGACGTGTTGGGGGGGGGAGTGCAGCTTCAAGGTGGGGAGGGACAACGATCCGGACCGCGAGAGGGCCGAGAAGAAGAAGTTCGAGCGCATGTACAAGAAGGAGCTCAAGGGCGCCATGCGAGAGCTGCGCAAGGACACGGCCTTCCTGCAGACCGAGCGGGAGAAGAAGAAGAGGCTAGACACCCTCGAGCGACAGGAGAAGACCAAGCGCGTCATGAACATCCTCTCGACCCAGGAGGGCGACGTCAAGAAGATGGAGCGGATGAAGAACGCCAGCGTCCGCCACTCCAGCTCCGTCCTCTAATTCTCCTCCTTTTTACCATTTTTCTTTTTAAAACAATAAAAATAAGAAAGAAGACAACACCACAACAATGCTGGTTGACCTGACCTTTACATGTTGATAAGTTATGTGTATATGTGCATGTATGTGAAAATGTTGCAACAGAACGGACCAATGGGCACGCAGTGAGAAGGTCGGCCGCTTTTTCGGCACCGAAACGCCGCAGAGCCCAAGTGTGGAGATTAATCTCGTGGTTCTCGCGCAGCATACGACTGATCGGTCCATCGCCAACGACATCATCGCGGGAGTAGGCGAGACGAGCACGCCGCGGGCGTAGTGCGAGGATGGGATTCGAATTCTGTGAGGCCCATTTCTCGAAGGAGGAGACGAATCTCATCTCGCTCCTGGCCCTCATCTCGTCGACCATCTCCATGTTCGGCTCCTCGTACATGCTCCTCTCCTACTTCCTCTTCAGCACGAGGAAGAATCCGCTCTCCAAGCTTGTGGCGTGGCTGGCCTTTGCCGATTACCTCGTCTCCCTCAACAACATCATCAAGACCTCCATCATCTACGCCGATCCCGACTGGTACGTGTGGCCTCTGTGCGTCTCCATGCGCGTCTACTTCCAGCTCACTGCCGGTACCTCCCCTCTGTTTATTCTATTATTTAGGTGCAATAAAAAAATTATCTATAAACGATTAAATCAAATATCGACACTATTTATTTCTCTAAATGGGAATTAATTCCAGGTGCTACTTGTGGGTACACGACCTGCATTGCCTTCTTCCTCTGGCGTTCGCTCTGGTTTCACAAGACTCGTACGTTACAGCCCGCACACGCACATCGCACACATTGCACGCACAACACGACACACAACCGCACGCGCAGCACCGCACACAACGCGCGCACACACGGCAGCTGATGGTAGCGGTGACTGGGGGGGTTGCAGGGGTGCGACGATGGGAGTGGGCGCTGTTCCACGGCCTGAGCTGGGGCATCCCGCTCGTGTGCGTGGTGGGCCTGGTCTCGGGCGACCTCCTCACCCAATCGCCCAACCTCTACCTCTGCTTCCCCAAGAAGCCCTGGCACATCATCCTCTGGTACGACACACGACGCACGACACGACACGACACGACACACTCACATCGGTTGTGCGTGTCGTGTCACTTGTTTGCGTGTGCGTGTGCGGCGCAGGTTTGCACCAGTCCTGGCGTCCTTCGGTCTGAACCTGCTGTTCTACCTGGTAACTAACTTTTATTTTAGCTCTCTGATTTTAGCTATGCATTATTTATTTTTAAACAATATGATTATAGCTATATTAAGAAGAATATGTTATGTAAATGTGAATATGTTATGTAAAAATGCAGTTAATCATCTACCGCATACGGAAGATCAAGCGGGAGCAGAAGGCCTACCTGCACGCCACGCAGTACCACGAGGTGTCGACCAAGCTCTCCAAAGTGATCCTCCGCTTCTCCTTCTACCTGCTGGTCTTCTTCGTGTGCTGGGTGTTCGACGTCCTCACCTACGTCGTCGGCACCATCGACCCCTCGTGCGGCGCCATCATCTTCACCATCCTCTACTCCATCCTCCTCAACCTCCAGGTTCGTGTTGCGTGTGCGTGTTGCGTGTGCGTGTGCTGTGTGTGCGGTCGGTGTGTGTGTGTGTTGTTTTTTTTTTTTTTTTTTTGCTTACGGTGTGTGCGGTGGTGTGTGCGCACACGCGGGTAGGGCGGGCTGGACTTTTTGGTGTACGGGGTGACGAACGACAACATCTACAAGCGGTTCACGAGCCGGTCCACGGTGGTCCACTCCCTGTTCGAGTTCTGCCTGTCGCCGCTCCTCGTCTTCCCGGCCTTCCTGATCTACCTCCGCAAGGTGCTGCGCGCCCGCCGCTCCAAGGCCGCGCGGCAGCACCTCCAGCACATGCGCGACCCCAAACTCCACCACGGCTCCTTCCGTACGTGTCGCGTGTCGTGTCGTGCGTGCGGTGGTGTGTGTCGTGTCGTGTTGTGTTGTGTGTCTCATCGCACACGCACACACGTAGGGAGCGGCCGGTTGAGCAGCGTCGAGCTGGACAGCGCGCGGGAGAGCGGGGAGGACGAGGCGGGCCTGGAGGAGGACGACTTCGAGGAGGGCCACCGGGGCGTCCTCGCCGCCTTTGTGCGGGGCGGCGGCGGCGCCACGCCCGTCGCGCCCAGCCCGGCGGCGGCGGCAGCGGCAGCCGAGCAGACATCGCTCCTCCGCAGCCGACGAAAAGGCGAAGAAGGCGACGACGATCACATCAACATCAACATCAACCGAGAAAGTGGTCCATGAATGTTTTATCTGTACATCATAAATATCATCACCATCGACATCATTCCTTCATTCTCATTCACCTCTCCTTCTTGTTTTCTTCTTGGCCTTCTTGTCGAACCGTGGTTGAAGAAGAAGAAGATGAAGATGGTGATGATGAAGGTGGTGGTGGCTGTTGCTGGAGCTTGAGGTGCTGGATGTGGGCGAGGCGTTCGGCGAGGGACGGGTGGGAGTAGTGGTAGTGGGCGTACCACGGGTCCGGCATGAGGTTGGTGAGGTTGTTGGCGTGGATCTTGATCAGCGCGCTCTCCAGCTTCCGCATCCCGTTCGCCACCGCGTACTCGTCCGCCGCATACTCCATACTGTGCAACGACACACCACGATATATCAGCAACGCACGACACACGCGCACGACGCACGCACGACACGAACACGAACCTTCGGTTGACGTAGTTGGTGAGCCAGTGGCCGAGGTTGGCAAAGGCGGAGTAGATGTACGAGAACAGGACCAGCCCGATGCTCGCCTTTTGGAGTTCAACAAAGCGAATGCTGACGTCAGCAACTTTAGTGGAGTTTAAGGTGGCGGGTGACGCACGTCGACGGAGAGGAAGCCGAATGAGCGGTAGAATTGGGGCATCTTGACGATGTGCGCGAACAAGAAGATGAAGCAGCCCATACTGAACAGCTGCATAAACAGCATCTTGTACGTGTCTGCAAGACGCACAAACATCTCATTAAGCGGGTGTGTGCGGTGTGTGCGGTGTGTGCGATGTGTGGCGTGTGGTGCTGTGCGTACGGTAAAATTTGTGGTGTCCGATCTCGTGGGCGATGATGGCGCAGATCTCGGGCTCCTTGAGCTGCTTGATCAGCGAGTCGTACAGCACGATGCTCTTCGAGAACCTGAACCCGACCAGGAATCTGCGTGCCCCACCCGACATAGAGCATTAAGGAATGCACACATTTGTGGAATGCATTCCTCACCACATTCCACACACATTCCACACCACCATGGTGGGGCTGGAGGGTGCGTACGCGTTGGAGTGGACGGTGGAGCGGTACTCCTGCTTGTACTTCTCGACGACGAGAATGTTGGCGAGCGGGAAGTTGAGCTTCCGGGTGAGCTTCTCGATCTCGGTCTTGAGCGGACCCTCGGGCAGCGGCTTGTAGCTACAAGGAGTGTGTCGCAGAGCTCAAAGTCAGCGTGCGTGCGTGCGTGCGGGTGTGCTTGTGTGTGTGTGTGCTTGTGTGTGTGTGTGGTGTGGTGCGTGTCGCACGCACTTGTCAAAGGCCGGAGCGATGAGATGGTAGATGTCGGTAAAGAAGATAGCCAGGATTGCCACGTAGACGCAGCTGTCTGTGACCATGACACGCGATGCGTGAGTGTGCGGTATCACGCGTGGCGTGTGCGCCGTGTGTCGTGTGTGCGTGTGCGGTTAACATGTGTAAGGGGGATCGTACAGAGCCAGTAGTAGGGCAGGTCCCAGCTGAGGAGCACGAGATAGGCCGAGAGGAGCGGAATACCAAAGAGAAGCGACAGCACAAACATCTTCATCTGCTCCCAGAACCACAGGTCCAGGATCGAGGCGGCGCTCCTGCAGGAGAGGCCATTGAGCAATCCTGCGTGCGATCTGCCACCCACACACGCACACGCACACGACGCTGCTACGGACCTCATCTCAAAGTGGGTGTCGACGCAGAGGATGCGGAAGAGGTGGAACGGGACACGCACGAGCGAGCTCGCCAGCGAGACCAGGATGATGAACACCATGCCGCGCGTTACCTGCACGCACGAGGCCCTGCGTGAGTGTTGTGTGTCGTGCTACGTGTTACGTGTCGTGTTGTGTGGTCGTGTGCGGTACCCGGTACTCGATACCGAAGCCCAGCCCGTCGAGCAGGTCCCGCGAGAGCGTCCAGAACCCGACGAGCAGATGGGATGACAGTACCAGGCACTCGGCGATGAACTCCATCGTCGCCTCCATCCGGTTGTAGATGTGCCGCATGATGCCCTGCGCGTAGCGGACCAAGAATCGAAACAATTTAAACTTATGCATGATCGGATTTGTGTAGTATCAAGAGGACATGCATCGGATGGAGGTGGCATACCCAGGCGTTGCGTTTCTTCATGCGGGGCTGATCGATCACCACCCATTCGCGTAGCACGGGCGGCATGCGGCGTTCTGCGCTGAGCAGGTGCCGAATTTGGCGCAGATCGAGGTAGCTCTCCCAAAAGAAGAAGAAGGCGCTGCTGCCCAACGCCATGTAGTACCAGGGCACCGCACGCAGGATCGCAGCGAGCCACCAGAACCCCTCGCCCTCGTCCACCCCCAACGCCGCCGAGGCGTTCATCTTTTTTTTTAAAAAAATGCAATAACATAACAGAAAACGTTTTATTGTGTTCATTTGAGTTCTTTGCATTCTTTACCGTTGGTGTTTTGGCGCGAAAAGTGAAACAGGGCAGTTGGAGTTGAAGATGAAGGTGCAAGAGCGATCGACGGCAGCAAGATGTCGAAAGAGGAAGTGATAGTGATGGAGAAGAAGGTGGAGCAGAAGAAAAAGTTGCCTCTAGCACCGTTGATCAGCTCATCTCCAACGGCCCTGAGATCGCCGGTTGGGGTGAAGACCTACTCGAGAAAGAGGAAGGTGGGCGGGTCGAGCTGTCTCTCATCAGATTCTACAACAACTTCTCCGTCGGCCTCACCCTTGCCCGAAGGGAGGAGCGGACGGTCGAAGTGGCTGGACATTCTCGAATCGCTGGCTAGCGAGGAGGATAGCGCGAAACCGAAGCAGGATGAAGAGCAGACGAAACAAGAGCCCTGCACCACCAGCGATTCTCCCTCATCCACAAACAAGAAGCGAAAGGCGGTCCAGATGCAGCTCCAGTTCTGTTCCTCATCGTCATCTCCTCTACGGTCTCCATCGAAAATGCGAGGCCCACGACTCGCTGCCGACTCGAGTCCAGGAGGAGCCAAATCGAGGAAGAGGAACAGGAAGGAGACGGCGAGCAGCGGGGCGAGGCAGATGTATCTCGATCTCGGCCAAGAGCGGTTCGATTGGGTGACTTGTGGCGTGTGCGAGATGACCTACGCGCCGGGCGTGCCCACCGACGAGAAGACGCACAACACCTTCCACCAGCGATTCCTCAAGATGCAATCCTCTGCCGCCTCTTTGGGAAGCATTCCATCAGCCATCTAGGCACGTTCTTGTACAAACACACATGCCTCTCAATCAATCAATTATTTCCTATTTTTAATCAATTAATCTTATTTTGATATCTTCTGCGGAACGGCGGAACTGGGACTTTTCGGCGAGGGCGAGGGGAAGGTGGCGGGCGAGATGGCCGGCAGCCGGCGGCAGGGCTGCCGTTATGAGGGTTGAGATGATGACGATGCTCGCCTTTGCCAGCCTGAATAGAATAGTGAATAGCAGACCAGAGAGAACATAAACGCGAACAACACAACACCAACAGAAGACAGGAGACATGGGAGCAGAGATGACCAAGTGGCTGATAGACTCCAAGGTGGAGGACATACACAAGAAAATGCCCTGGAGGGATGGAGACGACGACGGGAGGAAGGAGCAGCAACAGGCCGACTCCGTCGTGGACGACCTCGGACAAATGTTCGGCTCGCGCCCGGAGGAGGAAGTAGAACAAGGTACTCTTCTAGACGTCTACATGTGGCCATTCGCCCGACTGTTGTACTCGCTACATCACCCCCCCCCCCGGCTCTTCTTCCTCTTCTCTTCTTCCTCTGCTGACCTCAGTCACAGAGCGAAAGGAGACAGAGGCGGCCCTCAAGAAGTCGCGCAAGGTGGCGGCCTCGCTACGAAGCAAGTACAAGCTAGGAAGTGGCGAGGGCCAGCCCAAAACGTAAGCCACAACTATGTCAAGTCCACGCTTGCGCACTGCCTCGATACAGGCAGCTGACTTGATGATATGGTGATGTTACACGTGTGCAGGGAAGACCAAAGGCAGGAGGAGAAGAGGAAGACCCAGGAGAAGCTGGAGCAGAGCCGCAGCATGCGCGACAAGATGCGATCCAAGTACCAGAGAGGCTGATGCTATGCGTCAACCAACGCCAGTTCATGAGTGCGGTGCACAAGAAAAACAAATAAAAACAATAAAAAAACGAATAAAAACAATAAAAAACAAATTTTAAACATGGAAGAGATGTTGGAGGAGCTGCTGGTGGAGGTGCTTTCCTTCCTGGAGCCTGTGGACCTGCTGCACCTGGCCGCTGTTGACGCCCGCCTGCACCGCGTTGCAGGTACCCTTTGTCTGAACCGCGTAGAGACAATCTCTATTCTTATCATTAATGATAAGATTCATCTCTACTGGATTCAAAGGGGACGAGTGTCTGTGGGCGCAGCTTGGGCGTGGTCATGTGGTGTTGGCGGGAAGCGGAGCCCTGCTACCGCGTTGCCTGCTGTACGACCGCATCGGTCAGCTGGCGGCCCGCCGCGCTCCTTCGCGCGAGGTTCGTGCACCTCGGCCCACAACACACCAACGTGCTAACTACTACTAACGGGCAGGAGAAGGAGGAGCCTAGGCACTACTGCCGAGTCTGCGAGAGGCGGTGCTGGCTGGCCGCACCGCCGCCACCGCCGCACGAGATGGCCGCCCTCTGCGCTGGCGCTCTGTATGACTTGCGCCTCTGGGTGGGTGCTGCACACCATAATCTGCGGCGTCATCATCGGGCCAACGATGTGTGATCACAGAGGTGGCTGACCTGTCTCGCTTGTGGTGCAGGTTGGCGAACGGTGGCAACAGCAGAGCACGCATTTGTTCCTTTCTTCGCTCAGCCGGCCCGACCCGCACGCTGTCGTCCACCTGTGTCGTGACCAGGTATGGACATATGTGAACAAATACGTGTACCGTGCAGTGTGCCCTTTATGTATATTCATAATATATACATCAATGTGTGATGCAGTGTGCCAGTCTAATCGACCGCCCTCTCTCTGATGTTACAGACCAAAGCGGACCTGCTGGCCCTGATCGAGTATCAGTGCTATGTGATGCTCGACTCGGTAGATGAACAGCCGGACACGCTCGAGGGGTCGCCCCTGCGCAAAGCGCAGGCCGTACCGCTGTACTTTGCCCAGCCCATCAGGTGCCAGACCTCCGACGCACAACTGGCCATCGACCTCCAGCTCTCGCTCGTACGTTGTTATTGCCATCTCGTTATTGTGTGGTGTGTGCGTACACTTACGTGAGACCCGCAGACACACGACAAGCTGTCGTTGGACAAGATTGTCGAATCCTTATATCCCTGTCTCACAGCGGAGGCAGGGCAGACCGTCAGCGAGAAGCCCGGTATATACATACACACCCACAACGGCTGGTCGCTCGTTCAAGAAAACGCATTCACACCACGTTTTGGTTTCTTGTAGGCGGGCTGCTCACACTCATGACTCCGCCCGTTCAAGGCCCGACTTCCGCTCCGCAGGCCCGACCACGATTCGTTGCACGGCAGGTTCGCAACCAACCAAGCACCGTTGGGCTCAACAACACATGCCCATCGGTAACCAACACTCACCACTCACACACACACAACACAACACACGACCACACACACACGACACACTGCACAACTCGCTGCAGGGTAACTCCTGGCGACTGTTCTCGACGCTCGACAAGCGGCTTCACAACCTGCGATCTTCGGCCAAGGGGCTTGGTACACTACCCCCCCCCTCCGCTCCGCTACTTCACAAGTTGTGTTTACACGGCGGTCTTACGCCACCGACACACACACACATCAGGCCTTGGCACCCCCAACCAATTCCAGTCATTCTTGGCTCTCGAATGACACCTGCCGGGCCATATCTTTTTTGTTACCCGGTGCGTGTGCTTACGAAAGCCCTTCCCTGGGCACAGTGACAGGACCCAACAAACAAGAAGGAAGAAGAAGGAGAGCGACAACACAACACAGATGGACGCGTCAACACAACAAAGAGCCAAGGCAAAATGGTTGGCGCTGAGCGTAGGGCTCACGCTGGGCGTCCTCTTCATCTGCTCCGATTTTTTCTTCTTGCGGGACCACTCTCGCACCTGCGGCAGAGAAGAAGCAGATCTCCGCACCTTCGCTCGCTCCATCACCACCACCACGGCCGCCGCCGCCGCGGGCCAAAGGCGGGTGGTGCACGCCTCGGCCGCCTATCCGCTCGACCAGGCCCGCACCTCTTCGTGCCGGTTGGACCCGGCCCTTCGCCAGGTGCTCGTCATCCGCACCTGCGGCCCCCTCACCCCCGTACGCCCCCCCCCTCCACCAACCTTTGGATCTCTCTCCGACCCGGACCCTTTCGTGTACTTGCGATCGCTGATTGGCGGCCTGATTAAATTTTGAACACAAAAATTTTAAAAATGTTGTAGGGACTGCGTGCGTCGTACGCCAAGTACGCGAGGGAGCTGAGGGCCTCGCCCCACTACGACCTGTGGCTCCTCTATGACATCGGCACCGAGGTACCACCAAACCTAACGGCCGACAATGAGGTGCTGGCCGAGTACTACGAGCTGCAGCGGGAGTACCCCGGGCTGGGCCTGTTCCTCTACAACGCCAGCGACGTCAAGGCGCTCCTCCCGACTGCGGCCTACATCCAGAAGGACGCGACGCCCAACTTTTGGTTCCACGACGCGTCGCTCTTCCTCTGGTCCATCACCTGCCGCCCTGACCTCTGGCGCACCCCACCACTTCCGCCAAGCAGGTTCATTTATTTTATTCCTCTCTCTATATATATATTATATATTTATGTGTTTGTGTCCTTAACGTACATGTTCACTATTTTGCACGTGATCAGGGAGAGCGAGCTGTATATTTGGACAGTCGAGCACGATGCCATCTACTTTGGTGACGTGTCTATGTTCCTCGACGAGCACAACACCAACACTGCAGGTTTATCTCTCACTACAAACACTCTTCTGCCTGCGGCGGTGTGTGTGTGGGTGGTGTGCGTGTGTGTGTGCGGTGTGCGTGCGTGTGTGCGTGTGTGGTGTGTGGTGTGCGTGTGTGCGTGTGCGTGGCGTGCTGTGCTGTGTGTTACTGATCGGTTGCGCCGCGCGTGCATCCAGACTACATTGCCGACTATTCTCCGCTGAGGCCAGATTGGTATCACTGGAAGCAAAGCACGTGGCGGCCGCCCTACGACAAGGCCGTCTTCAAGAAGCAGCACGTCGAGCGCCACTCGACCGCGCTGCTGCGCTACCTGTACAGCATCACGCTGCTCGACGTGGTGGCCTACGGCGAGATCTTCGCGTCGACCGTGTGCGCCCTGCAGCCGCACTGGTGCGTGATGGCGCCGCTCGAGCGGCGGTTCATCGGGCCGGCCTATGATTGGAACGCCTTCCTCACCGACGACCAGGTGGCCGCCATGTGGGCCGACCCGGCCCAGCAGGGCAAATGGAACCACGCCGTGCTGTCGCGCAAGAGCCGCAAGTGCAGGTCCTCTCTCAAAGAGCTCAAAAACGCACCCTCCCCCTCACCACAACCAAAATGAATGTAGAATGTAAATAAACCGGTAATTAACTGTTATCATTATTTATTTATGAAATGTAAAGTTATATTTAGAAAAATATTTGTTCGCATTGGATTGTGTGGATTGCATCAAAAGCCGGCAGGGCGTCCGTGCTTTCGCGGGTCGCTCACGGCGTGGAGCACGCGGGTGGCCGCGTTCTCGTCGTCGGCTTGCTTGGACTCCACCAACACCGCCTGGACGACCGCGATCTCCTCCTTGCGGCCCATCTGCGCAGATGTACGCGCAGTTGCATTCGTAGGTAGGTAAGCGTGCCACCATGTCATGTGCGCGTGCGCGTGCGCATGCGGTCGTGTGTGTCTGCGTGTGCCGTACCTGATGGCCGCGCTGCGCAAGTTCTCGTATGATGTCCTGCGCGAAGCCCGTTTCGGTGTAGACCTGCACACGCCGACGTGGAGGGGGAAAAGGTGAGTTGAGTTGATGGCATGTGTGGTGGTGTGGTGATGGTGGTGGTGGTGGTACGTCGGTGGGGAGGAGCTGGTGGTGGACGCGCGGTCGCGACACGGCCTTCCACAGGCCTTGCCGGTAGTCCACCACGTTGAGGAACGTCTGCAGGGTGCCCGTGATGATTCGCGAACCGCCTGCACCGCACACCGCACACACACACGCACGCGCACCAGTAAAGTTAACACGCGCGTTCCATCGCACGCACAACACCCCACACAAAAAAACGCGCGTACCTGATGCGCCGACAATCAGATAGACCTCGCCATCCTTCAACACTATCGATGGCGACATGGACGAGAGTGGTCGCTTGCCCGGCCCTGGCCAGGTGCCACACAGAAAAGAAAAGAATAAGTAATGTTATTTATAAAAGCATAACATTAAAAAATAAAAATGAATTAATGAATTAATGAATTAATGAATTCGTTGGGGGTAGTACGGATGAAGTTGGCCTCGGACGGGGGCAGGTCGTAGGCGTTGGCCCGCCCGGGGATCGAGAAGTCGTCCATTTGGCTATTCAGCACCACGCCCGTCGACGGCGACAGCACCTTCGAGCCGAAGATGAGGTTCACCTGAGGTGGCGCCAACCACTCAAATCAGCCTGTGTCGTGTGTGCGTGTGTGCGGTCGTGCGTGTGCGTGTGCGTGTGCGTGTGTGCGGTCGTGCGTGTGCGTGTGCGTGTGCGTGTGCGTGTGCGTGTGCGTGTGCGTGTGCCATGTTACCGTGGAGGTCATGGAAACGGCGGTGCCGTCGGGGTCGATGACGGAGATGTGGGTGGTGCCCTCGTTGTTGATGGGGTTGCCCAGAGGCACCATGTCCTCGTAGTGGGTGTAGGGAAAGGTCTTGTCGGCCCGCAGCCGTCGCCGCAGCCGACCCGCGTGCTCCTTACTCAACTGTACAGGACCACCGCACAACACGCACGCGTTCAGCTAACCGCACACGCCGCATGCAGCACGCTGCGCGCGCGTATGTGTGTTGCGTGCGCTGAACGCGACGGGTACCATGGCGTGTGTGAGGTTGTGCAGATCGGCGAATTGCGGGTCAGCCAGACCCATGCGATCGGCGTAGGCGAAGGCCAACGCTTCGGCCACCCAGTGATAGGCCTGGGCCGTCGGTCCTGCAGTCGCCAACAATAAACAAAATCCGTGTCGCGTGCACGCGTCGTGTGTGTCGTGTCGCGTGCGTGCGTGTCGTGTCGTTTCGCGTGCGTGCGTCGAGTTTAGTGCGTTGCGTACCGAGCAGGGGCAGATTGTAGGCCTCGAGCAGGTTGAGCGCCATCACCACGCAAGCGCCGCCGAACGGTGGACCTGCGCTTTATTTAGTATTGTTAGTATTAAAATAGTAGAAAAAACAAATAAATTATAAAGTATAAATCAAAGCCATGGTGATGGAGTACCTCAGCACCTCCAGCCCGCGGTAGAATCCCTTCACCGGCGTTCGCACCTACATTTGTGTGTTGCGTTGCGTTGTGTGTGTGCGCGCGCGCGCGTGCGTGTGTGTGTGTTAAGGGTGGTGTTAAGAAGTGTGAAGTGTGAAGTGTGAACCTTAACGGTGCCGTTGTGGAGGTAGTTGTGAAGATCGTCGGCGGTGATGATGCCTCCAGCCTGCTGGATGTCGGCCACCAGCTGTTGCGCCAGCGATGACGTACGCGAGTAGAACGCCGATGCGCCGTTCTCTGCCTGCACCGCACGACACGCACCGCACGCACCGCAGGCGATTGGAACAATCATTCAAATCTCCACGAATCAAAAAAATGGAAATGGTGTAAAACGAACCACGAGCGCGAGCGTGTCGGCCAGGCGCGGATTGGAGACCGTGTCGCCCTCCTTCTTGCGCACCCCGTCGGGCGCGTACACCGACCGAAGCCCCGGGTCCACCACGATCTCCGGCGTGTCCTGCACAATGCGGTCAGGACCGAAGTCTTAAAAGAAGAGAAAAGAAGAGAAAAGAAATGAAAAACTATGTAAGAGAAGAAGACGAGAGTACGGCGATCCACTTGGCGAGGAGCGCGGGAACGGTGAAGTTGCGGGCCAGCTGGGCCGAGGGCATGACGAGGTCCTTCCACGCCACGTGGCCCGACCCGTGCTGCTGCCACGCGTACTCGAGCCCGGCCAGCTCGCCCGGCACCGCCACGCTGAGCCCGCCCGTGCGGCTGGCCTCGACCGGTCGGTCGCGGTACATGTCCTGCGACGCCGCGCTGGGCGCCACCTCCCTGAAGTCGATCAGCTCGCTATGCCCCTCTTTCGTGTGCAGCCTTAAGGTGGTCGCCAATGTACACGTGCCATACAGATACACACACGCGTTGTGGTTTAGGCTTGATTGCAGATTGGGCCACGTGTGGTTCATAAAGACGACGATCAGAGGTGGTGAGAGACGTACAGCAGGACGCCACCGCCGCCGATCCCCGAGGAGAAGCTGTTGAGCACCCCGATGCACAGACAACTCGCCACCGCTGCATCCACCGCGTTTCCTGCACACATAAAATATTTTTTATTAAATAAATCAGATTGTTCACATAAATAATAAAAATGTAATTAATTTATGAAAATAAAAAATAAATGAAAGAGCGAAAACGAGGAAAGAACGAAAGGGAGCGTACCGCCGAGGTCCCGCATGATGGTGGTCCCGATGTCCGAGCAGAGGCCGTTCTCCGTGGCCACGGCCCCGCGCTGGGCCCGCACGTAGCCCGCACCCACGGGCGGCGCGGGCGAGCTTGCACCCGAGGAGTTGCCCGAGGGCAGGGTGGCGAGCAGGATGATGGCCACCAGCAGCAGAAAGACCAGCACGACGGCGAGGAGCCACAAGAGCCGCTTGCGCTTGAACCACTTGCGGCGCAGGTAGGCGAGCCAGGCCCGCAGGCCGCCGGCCGAGTAGAAGGAACCGATCTGCAGCACACCGCCGTCGTCGTGGCCGCTTAGGGCGGCCTCTTCGTCGGAGTAGAAGGTGGTGACGCCGCTCCCGCTTGTGCCGTCCCGTTCATCTTCGTCGTACTCCTCATTGTAGATGTCGTCGTTGTTGTTGCCCGCTTCCTTGTGGTTGCCGAGGATCCGAGCGTCATCTATCATCTCGATCGAATCTCCATCTTCATCAAAAGGGGAGTGCGAACCTCCTTGCATGCCTTTCGTCTTCTGTGCCTAACTTTTGAACAAGCAAGTGTTGTGGTCGGGCTAAACGAAATTTCGAAGTCGCCACGGTTGGAATGTGAGATGCGCAAAATATGCCGGCATTTAAAATATATTACCAAATAAAAACGCATATTTAAAAGAGGTGCGAAATTAGAAGTGCCAAGCACGACAGAATCGGAAGTGTAGCAGAGATGAATGAGTTGGAAGCTCTGCTGAGCGATTTGGAGCAGCTCTACCACGGCAATGTGCGAGAGATGGAGTCGAGGAGCCGTGGCGTATCGGTGGGTCACCAGGCGCCGCCGATTAAATCACCACAAATGCATTACGCAACCGCCGCGCCTGGTGCTACCGCCTCCCAAGCGCCCAAGCTCGAGCTGCCGCCCCGCCCCCAGAACAACCCCTACACGCACCTGGCGCCACAGCCGCAAGTAGCGCCTCATCATCATCATCAAGTAGCGCCCACGGATCGACAAAAGGAAATGCTCATTCGGCAGCAGCAGGAGCTCATCCAGGAGCAGAGCAGACAGATCGAACAGCTCAAGCAGCTCCAGCATCATCAAGAGGTGCCAAGGCCGATGTCGCCGGGCAGGTCGACAACGGCCGTGGTCCACGCGCTGGACGACATCATGGACGACCTGAGCCAGCTCATCGCGGCCGACACCAAGGCCCTGCCCGACACGATCCTCGACGACCTGCAGAACCTGGAGCTCCGCCCGTTGACGACGGCGACTGCCCTGCATCAGCAGCAGCGGCGGCCGACGTCGCCGCCGCTGCCGGTCGTGGCCCCCATGGGGACAGTCCCGACCCGCGCTCGGCCCGTGTCGTCGTACCACCCGCGGGCCAGCGCGATCACCTCCCCGCCGGCCGTGCAGGCCATCGGCGCCCCGCCTGGGCGCGCCTCTCCGGGCATGGCCCACACAGGTACGAGGGGGCTCTCGTAAGTAGACCTGATCTATGCATGTCGTGCGTCGTACGTGTGTCATATCTGACCGTGTGTCGTGTCGCGTGTGTCGTGTACAGTTGCTGCCAGATCCAACACCACTTCGCCTGGCACGCACGCACACCACAGAAGCTTCTGTTTGATGTTTTGCTGACACTTGTCGGTCACGGGCGCCGTGTTCTCTCTCTCACCTCAGCAGCGCGGCCATCGGTCCACGAGTTGCACCAGCGCCTGAACGCGAGGCCCCAGCAGCTGCCCGCCACTCTGATTCCGTCCGCTGCCGCGCCGGCGCCGCAGCAGAAAGCGGACCAGACCAAGAGCAGCAGCAGCAGCAGCAGCAGCAGCAGCAGCACTGGACCGGCGCCCTTTTCGGCGCGCAGGCCCACGTTCAGCGCCGCCAGGTCGCGCGCACCGCTGCCGGTACACCATATCCCCCGCCGAGCTTCGTGAGAGCTGCGGTAACTCACCAAACCCTTCGTTTGACGTACGTTGTGTGCGGTCGTGTGCGGTCGTGTGCGGTCGTGATGTGTCGGGAGTGACAGGCCCTGTACACGTCAGTTAGAAATGGGCAGTACGACGCACCGCCGACCAAGACACCGCTGGTACCGCGCGAGGTCAAGGCCCACGAGGGCGCCGCGCTGTCGCTCACCATGGGCCTGGTGGACGGATCCACCAAGAAGATCATCGTCTCCGACAACTTCACCGTTCAAGACGTGCTCATTGCCTACGCGAGCAAGCTGGGCCTCTGGCAAGTTGATTTCTTCAGCCTCGCCGAGTCTCGACCCGGCAAGTCGGGTACCATTCCCTTTCATCGCACACGCGCCGCCGCACACGCACCCGCCGCACACGCACCCGCCGCACACGCACGACCGCACACACACTGAGTGTGTGGTGCGCAGATCGGTGGCTGCACCCAGCGGTCCAGGTGGGCCGCTATGGCATCCAGGAGACGAGCAGGCTCGTGCTGAAGATCAAGTTCTTCAAGCGGCCTCGGTACCTGGTGGACCCGGTCGCGCTGCGTCTGTTCTACCTCCAGATACAGACCAACGTCGTCGCCGGCGCCTACCCGTGTACCGAGCGCCTGGCCATCACCCTCGCCGCGCACCAGGTACCTGCGCCGCCTGTCTCCCCGTACATCACGTGTGTGACTGACGTGCATGTGCGGTCGTGCGTGTGCGTGTGTTGATGTGCGTGGTGTGTGTGTGTGTGTGTCAGCTGCAAATCCAAGAGGGCGACCACCAGCCGCAGAAGCACAAGCCCGGCTGGTTCGGCGGAGTGGACAACCTGCAGAAGTTCGTGCCGCCGGAAGTGACCCTCAAATATCCCGTGGACTACATCGAGGAGCGCATCTTCCGCTTGCACGCCAAGCTGATCGGCAAGACCAACCATGTACGCATTTGACTGTGTCGTGTGTCGTGTGCCGTGTGTCGTGTGTGCCATGTGTGTCGTGTGTGTCGTGTGTGGAGTCGACTGACATGCAATGCTTGTTCAGGAGGAGCTGTTCAGGGAGTACATTGATTTGGCGGCGGCCATTCCCACGTTCGGCATCAACCTGTACAACGTGTTCGATGGCGAGTTCGAGAAGGGCGGCGTGAAGCGGAGGCTGGGTATCGGCGAAGACGGCATCATGCTCACCCGCCGCGCCGAGAAGGTACGTGCGCTGGCGCCCCGCCTGCCCCTCCCCCCAATATCGTATGCCTCAAGTGAGCTCCCCTCTCATAGGGAGCGTACGACTTCTATCCGTGGACTAGCATGGGCGGCTGGCTCAAGGCCAGCGACACCGTCTTTCAAGTGAGAGTTGTCGGCCAACCGGTACGCGTGTGAGTGCGCGCGTGTGTGGCGTGTGTGTGTGCGTGTGCGTGTGTGGCGTGTGTGGCGTGTGTCGCATGGCACTCACTAGTGAATGGTCGCTTTGAAGATATTTGCGTTCCACGCGCCGGCCGACTGCGTGTTTGACATTCTGGAGCTGATGACGGGCTACTACCTGATGGCGTTCCACTCCGACCCGGCCGTGCCGGACTTCCCCATTCCCTACGAGCCCGACTGCCTGCCCCACCCGCGCCTCTTCCTGCCCTACAAGCCGCGCAACCTCCAGAACGCCTACACCCGCAGCTGCCTCGAAATCCTCAAGCACACCTACGAAGCCGTGTACGCGTTCCACCCCACCACCGACGATTTCACATTCCTCAGCATGGCTAGCATTCCTAAGGCTCACATTACTCAACACATTACTTACATTCCGCGTTTGCAACTGGAATGCAATGGAACGAACAGGTGCAAGGAGTACACGGTGCGGCCGGTGGAGGCCTTCATGCTGCAGATGGACGAGACGCTGGACCAGAGCGGCGGCGTGCTCACCAAGATCGTGATGCGGCACTGCGACGTGGGCGAGTTCCAGTTCAAGGCGCTGCTCAAGGGTCTCGAGGCCGCGGCCGCCCAGGCCGTCCACGCCCACAACAACATTCTCATCCAGGAGCTCGACCTCTCCTCCAACCAGGTCTCCACCGCCAACCCCGCTTCTCACCTTCTCCAATTTATTATCTTTTTATAATTTATTCTTATTATTTGCTGACGTGGCGTGGTCGTTCGGTGGCAGAATGCGATCACGGCGCGGCATGCGCAGTACATAGGGCAGTTGCTGGGGGCCTGCCCGGTGCTGCGCGTGCTCAACCTGAACGACTGTCGCCTGGGCACCCAGGGCGCCGTCGACCTCGCGGCCGTGCTCACGTCGAACCTCACCCTGCACGAGCTGCACGTCGCCAGCAACCAGATCAACGACCGGGGCACGGCGGCGCTGGTCAAGGCCCTCAAGGGCAACCAGGCGCTGCACGCCTTCAACTTTGCGGACAACGGGCTGTCGGCCGACGGAGCCAAGCTGCTCGGGGACATGCTCGAGAAGAATCCGCACGTCACCACGCTTGCCCTGGGCCTCAACAAGTTCGGCGACCTCGGCATCAACCACCTCTACCACGGCATCAAGTGCAACACCACGTACGACCCCCGCGTGTGCGGTGGTGCGTGTGCGATGAGGCGTGTGCGGTTGTGCGTGTGCGCTCTGACTGAGATCTACGACGACGACAGATTGCTGCGTCTCGATTTGTGCCGCACGGAGTTCACGGCCAAGGCCGGTAAGCACCTGCTACGCATTCTCACGGAGAAGCCCAACATCACGTGCGTCAAGCTGGCGCACAACGACATCGGCCAGACCGGCGGCCAGATGCTGGGGGCCTACCTCACTTCCGGCTCGCGGCTGACGGTTCTCGACCTCAGCTACACCAACATCGGCTCCAAGGCGCTCAAAGCCGTACGTCCTCCCCTCTGGCACCATTAATGGCGCTTGCTGACACGACACGACCAACGACACGACCAACGACACGACACGACACACGCACGACCGCACACGCGATTACAGATTGGGCGCGGGCTGAGGGAGAACAGGTCGGTCACGACGCTCAAACTGTCGGGCAACGAGTTCGACAAGAAGGGCGCGATGGCTCTGGCCGAGGCCCTCGAGGCCAACCGCACCCTGCAGCACTTGGCCCTCGCCCGGTGCGGCCTTCCCAAGGTAAGCACCACCCATAGCATATACTTTTTTTTCTCATCAATCAGCTCACCATCAACTCACTTTCCACGCTGCGGTGGTGGCTGGTGGTGGTGGTGGTGGTAATCTCTCCAGCCGGCGCTTTGGGTGCTGGTCCAGGCGCTCCGGTCCCGGAACACGACGCTGCAGCGCCTGAACCTGAGCCACAACCCTATGAACGTACGTTTGTCGCTCTCGCTCTCGTTCTCGCTATCGACTGTTCTCTCGTTCAAGGGCATTGAACAACATTATCATTAATATTTTTAATATTATTATTTTATTACGATTATTGTAGGTTGAGGTGGCCAAGGTGATGGGCGACGTGCTGGCGTACAACACCAGCCTGCAGACGCTCAACCTGACCGGCTGCCTATCGTCCGACGGCACCAAGGAGATCGTCACCGGAATCGGCGTCAACCGCGCTCTCGTCAAGTACGTGCGTCATCGTCATCGTCATCGCCATGTTAGATAGCCGCGGTTGCTTCCTTTAAACGAGTCCTCATCATTACATTGTGTGTGTCGTGTGCGTGTGGTGTGTGCCATGGGTTGGTTGCGCCTGGACCAGGCTGAACCTGAGCGGGTGCCGAATGACCAAGGTGGTGTGGACCAGCCTGGCGGATGCCATTCTCCAGAACCGCACCCTCGAGCGGCTCCTGTGCAAGGACACGGCCTGCGACGCGCGGCTCTTCGAAGAAGTTCTCAACCATTGGTGCGCGCTCTCCTCTTCAACAACATCCAACCTTGAAATGCAACACACACACACACACGCACCCGCACACGCACACGCACACAACACTCTGAACCGGCACCTCCGTGAACACAACAGGGACTTGCGGAAGCATCTGCTCCACGTGAAGGTCCTTCACCTGGGCTCCAACAACATCACGCCGACCGATCGCCTGCAAGAGCGGATCCGCAATTATCCGGTCACCATTCTCTTCTCCTGAAGAGGACCCAACCACGACTAATTTAAATTTTTTTATTTACATTAAGTGTTATATTAACATGTGTGTGATGTGTGTGTGGTGTCGACCGACTACCCTAACTACTACTTGCTTCGCTGCCGTCCTCCGAGCAGTCGTCGGAGCTGCACTCGCTGCAGGAACCGCAGCTGCTCCGCTCGTCTTCGGTGGTGAGCCACTTGTTGAGGATGTGGCACAGCTTGGTCTTGTCGAACGGCTTCGGCAGCCAGTCGTCCATGCCCGAGTCAATGCACTTGCGCCGGTACTCCGTCGTGGCCGACGCCGTCAGAGCGATGATTGGGATGTGACCGATCTCGGCCTTGGTCCCGCCATGCCGCTCCCCAATGCCTTCCTCCTCTTCTCGGCCCTCGTCTTCTTGATGAACCTCGAGGCTGTCGGCTCCCGCGTCATCGTCCGACGACGTGTTCTTGTCGCTGTCGCTGGCCCGGCCGCCCTCGCTCGACTGCTCGGTCTTGGCTGACTGTCCGCCGGCTTCTCGATCTACTGTAGGCGACGTCGACGTCGCTTTCTTCTTCGTCGTGTTCGTCATTGTCGTCGTGCGGCCGTCGCCGTCGCGTTCGACCATCGCTTTGTTGGGGTGCGCCGGGTGGATGGCCACCACAGCCTGCTCGTCCTGCTTTTTGGGCTGATGCGAGGCGGCCGCTGAAGGCGCGACGGCGCAGGGCCGGAAGGGGGCGAGCTCGCGCTCGCGGATCTTGCGGGTCGCTTCGAACCCGTCCATGAGGGGCATCTGGCAGTCCATGAGCACGGCGTCGAACTCCTCCTCGTCCATGGCCTGGATGCACTCGAGCCCGTTGTTGGCCACCCGCACGCTGCAGCCGAACGAGCGCAGCATCCGCACGCCCACCTTCTGGTTGATGATGTTGTCCTCCACGAACAGCACCCTCCGCGACGGCAGCTCATCTGCGTGCGTGTCGTGTCATGTTGCATGTCGTGTTGCGTGTGCGTGTTGCGTGTTGCGTGTTGCGTGTGCGTGTGCGGTGAGATGAAGTTGTGGAAAATGAAAGAGAGAGAGAAAGAAGGAAGAGCGTACCGGAGGGGGTGCAGGGCGAGACGTGCTCTTCGGCCTCGTCGGAGAGGAGGAGGAAGCTCTCCATCTCCTGCGAGTGGATGGGCAGGGTGACGGTGAACCAGAACTTGGAGCCGCGCCCGAAGGCCGACGTGCAGTGGATCTGGCCGCCCATCGATTCGCACAGCCGCTGGCTGATGGCTAGGCCCAGGCCCGACCCGCCGTACCGTCGCGTGATCGACGCGTCCACCTGCGAAAATGCCTGCGCCCACATTCACACGTCAGCACTCCCTTTTTAATGAATAATAATATAAATAAAATAAATAAATAAAATACAATATTTAACAAAAAGGTATACCTTGAATAGTTGGCAGAGGTGTTCCTCGGCGATGCCGATGCCGTTGTCCTCGACCTCGACGCGCAGGTCCTCGCTCTCGTCGATGATGCGCACCGTGACCGTACCGCCCTCGCCCGTGAACTTGATCGCGTTGCTGACGATCGTCGACGACCACGACGGTAACGACCATGATATGATGGGTACCATTGTCAGCAATTCCAGGGCTGACTTGACCGAAAGCTTGAGGGTAGAACGAGTACCTGACCAGGTTGAAGAGAATCTGCTTTATGCGGAGCGGGTCGCCGATGCGGACGGGGTAGCGCACGTCGACGCACTTGCGCAGTTGGATCCGCTTCTGCTCGGCCTGGGCGGCAAAGACCTTGAGCAGGGCCTCGAGCTCCTGCACGGGCTTGAACGGGAGACACTCGAGCTGGAGCCGCTTGGACTCGATGCGCTCGATGTCGAGGATGTTGTTGATCAGCGCCAGCATGTGCTCCCCGCAGTCGCGGATGATCTCGGCGTTGTCGCGCGTCGGGTCGTGCCTCGCTGCCGAGGGCGGGATCGCCTCGAGCAGCATTGACGTCGAAGCAATGATGCCATGAAGCGGCGTACGAAGCTCTGTGTTGTGTGTCGCGTTGAGTGTGTGCGCCGTGGTGGCGTGTCGTGTTGTGTCGTGTGCGTCGGAGCGTGAGTGTTATGTTTGGCGGAGAATTGTGCGAGAGCAGCGGTGGTGGTGGTGGTGGTGGTGGTGGTACCGTGGCTGATGTTGGCCATGAACTGGCTCTTGGCGTGGGTGGCCTCCTGGAGCTGGTCGTGGGCCTCCTCGCGCTCCTTGATGGCGCTCTTGAGCTTGCCTATGGCCTGGTACCGCGACGTCTCGTGCACGAACGCCGTCGTGCCCACGATCAAGTAGCTCATCACCACCACGAACCACTTCCACACACAACACAACACAACACCACACACCACACCACACCAGACCTTTCGTCAGCTACGCGTTTGTTCTTTTCTCCTCTTTCTTTTTCTCTGAGTAGAGGGAAGAAGACGAAGATGTAGATGTGGTACCTTGTGGACGGGCGGCAGGAGGACAAGCTCTTCGGAGGGGGGAATGACGTAGCACGAGAGGAAGACGAAGAGGGAGATCTGGGCGACGATGAAGATGAGCGACCGCAGACCGGCCGTGGCGCCCATGATGTAGAAGAGGAGCGTGGGGATGAAGAGGAGCCACAGCATGTACTCGCTGACGAGGCCGAAGTTGAAGCAGACCACGACAGTGCCCATGTCGATATCGATGAGGAATAGCGCCGTGACCAGGTAGAGATTCTGCGTGTAGTAGAGGAGCACGACGAGGCTCAACTCCACCACGAGGTAGGTGAGAGCGGCCGAGCGCAGGAAGGTGAAGAAGGGGCCGTCGTAGAAGAGGGCCGAGCAGACGAGGAAAAAGTTGTAGAGGATGAAGAGCAGGATGGTGCAGAGCAGCACGGCACACTTGCGTCGTTCCTCCCTGTCCTTTGAAACGAAGAAGCTGCCAAAGAGGAGCGGCAGGCCCTCGTAAATCTTTCCGGGTTGTACTGCCATTCTCGAGAGCTTTTGATGAAGGTCCTGTTGGAGGTTGTATCGATTTGTTGGTGTGGAGGAGAGGATTGAGGTCACTCCCACACCTGGCAGTCTGTCGTGGTTCACTCGCTGCTGACTAATAAATAGAAAGGAGCTTGAGCCTTCCCTTTGGCCTCTGACGATCGAGGAAGTTGAAGTGGAATAGTCGGGGAGGGTTGGGGTGGCTGGTGGCGCGAGCTGATGATGAGCCTTTTGGGTCTGGTGGCGTGGTGCTGAGGTGTTGGGGGCTAATGATGAAACGGGGCGCGTTGGTTAATGCTCAGACTAGCCTGGGCCGGCGTTGGGCCTCGAAGCGAGAAGATGATGAACTCGTGAGAGGAACCGGTGTGCATCTGGATTGGACCTGGTAGCGCTCTCAGGGCTCAGATCAGCCTCTCGGCGCCACTGGAGGCAGGGTGGCGGAGGATTGAGCGCCAAACCCTCCGATTCCAAATCGAGCTCCACTGGAAGACCAAGGCCTTGTTGCAGCCCACTGCAAAGATGATCAGTGGTACCCCACACATGGCCTCCCACATGTGGTGAAGGACAAGGGCACGACCTTCCGCGGAACAGAGTCGTTTTTACTGGGCGAAGGTTGCAATTGGCTCGATTTTTATTTACTGGAGTTAAAATTCCAACGGAGTTTGTCCGCGGGGCATTTACTCGCTCTTGTTACACTCGTCTGGTCGGAAGATGATGTGTCTGTTCGTTGAGGCGCTTCAAGTCCTGTACCCTTGGGCGAACTGGTTGTCACTGTGAGTCTTGTGGTGCAAGTTGTTCACACTCACCCTTGTCAGGACACTGGTGTGTTGAAGAGGGCCGGGTCGTCTGAACACCTCCGTGACCTGAATACTCAACCGCTGGCCGACTGCAGCTTCTGCTGGACCAGGCGACAGAGGAGGGAGCACTGGTGGCTGGCAAAGAAGTCGCGTATGCCCTCCAGACCGCGATTGCCCGGCACTGGGCACAGCGAGCGCGGGTCCGTGTGCACCTGCGGGTCGGTGAACACGTCGCCCACGCCCTGCAGGTCGCACACCAGCGAGGTCCCGCCGCTCGCCAGGTAGCTGAAGTGGCTGAAGGCCTGCGGCGTGTCCCGCACACGCCCGTCCTCCGGCTGGGCGAACACGCGGCCCTCGTTGTCGTTGTACTTGACGTAGGCCCCGTCAAGTAGCGGCTCCATGACGCCCCACGCTGGGGGCTGCCGGGCGGCGAGCTCGACCACGACGATCGGGTTGAAGGCCACGGCCTTGGGCATGGCGCCGAACGCGTTCCAGCGGTGGGCCAGCCCGGCGGCCTTCCACTGCATGACCACCTCCTCCTGCAGGGTCTTGACCAGGGCGTCGGTGGTGGCGATGCCCAGCGCCGCCAGCGCGTCCGGCCGGAAGAACTTGACCACGTAGAAGCTGCCCTTGGCGAAGGCCTTGTAGGCCGACCGCAGCGAGCCGGTGGCCATGCACTGAGCCTCGACGATGCCGCGCAGGGTCTGCTTGCTCCACCGCCGGGCCTCGCCGTCCACGAGCGTGTAGCAGTTGATCGTTTCGCCCCGCTCCCGGTCGGGGATCTTGAACGTCGACGAAGGCGGGGCTGGCGGGGCTGGCGGGGCCATGTGCGGACGCTGGAAATTGGGCCGTGGCGGAGGTGGCTTGGGTGACGAAGACGACGATGATGACGAAGATGATGATGATGAAGAAGAAGGTGCAGATGAAGCTCCACACAGGTTGAATTTGGCGAGAATGGTCCTCATCAAGATGCCCTTGTTGCTGCTGCCTCCCTCTGTGCGATGATGATGGGGTAGTGTTGTAATAGCAAGTCATCACAGCCCTCGTGTGGAAGGAAAGGGGGAGGGGGCTCATCGCGCACCTCGGTCATGGATGGCGACGAGGCGCCAGTGCTTGAAGACCGGAGAGCCCGACGAGCCGGGCAGGGTGTCGCCCACGTAGGACACCACGGGACCCTTGATGCTGGCCACCAGCTGGATGCTCAGGTGCTTGCCGCCCTGGTGGTACTGGATGGCGTGGACGGCGTCCTCTGCGGCCAGCGGCGTCTCCAGGCACTCGGCGAGCCTGATGGGCACCCTGGCCGCAGACAGCGCATACCACGAACAGCCCACGATCGTGCAGTCAAATATTACATCCTATTTAACACGACACGACACAGGAAACAGACTGCAATCAGTTGTGGATTGAAGTGGTGTGAATCGCCAGAGGAGTGAAGGTACAGTTTTGAACATGGCAGCAGGACGCAGGAAGATTGTCGCCACGTCGGACTGGTCTGTTGAGTTGCTGAACTCGGCATAGGCCCGTTCTGCTTCCGCCACAGAGCTGATGAGGTCGTTGCTCGTCACCACACACAGGTACGAACAGCCTGGCACTTGTGAGGATTTCGAAAAAGAAAGAAATAAACAGATAAAATATAATAATGCAAATAATATATAATAAATGATATATATGGTACCCTGGTGCTCCACAGCAGCGAGGAAGCCGTTGCCAACGTGCGGGCGGCTGTTACCGGGTGCGGTGGGCACTGTGATGCGGCAGAGGGCCGCGCAGCAGCGCAGCATGCGCTGGATGTGGCCCCGTCTCCATCTTCATAGACCACATTTTCGTGCTGACAGGCAGCAGAGGCCGCACGGTGAGCCCATAAAGGACAGGTGGCGCGAGCATGCACGCCCCAGGACCCTGTGTGGAGAAAGTACCCGAAAAGCTGCAGAGGTCTCATGCGGCGCGGCCGTTCGTCTCGACTTGGCTTGGGGGGCATCAGTCCCCACGCGCTGCGCCCTTCCCTCCTCTACTTCCCGCTCTTTGCGCTTGGCGCCCCAGCTTCTCTCCATTGAATTTGATCAAAAAAATATATGTGTAACAATTAATTTGGGATTTGGTTACAAGGCACGGCTATAAGTGGTTAAAAGTGTTTTACTCCAAACTAAGTTTCATATCAGTAATACGGCCCGCCAGCCAAGTCTTTCTCCAGTTCAGGCGGATGTGGCGGAGACAATTACAATCCCCTCGAGCTGGTCAGCTGCCGCTTCATTCTCCTTTACCTCTCCTACCTTGGCCTGGGCGATCTTGACCTCCACCTCCTCCTCCTCCTTGGTCTCGTCGCCCTTGGCTTCCTCGTTTTGATCGTCGTTGTCGTTGTGGTCATCGTCTGCAGCCTTCTTGTTCTTGCGTCTGGCGGCCTTCTCGTTCTTGATACGCTCCAGCTCGGCCTCGACGAACCGCGCCACGTTGTCGATCGCAGCCTGCGGGTCGAGCTTGTGTCGCAGCAGGAAGCCCTGCAGGCTCGCCATCGACAGCCGCTCCTCGGGCACCAGCTCCGCGAACCGCTGCGCCAGCTCGTCCACCTCCGCCAGGCGCCGCTTGCCGTCGTCTTCGTTCTTCTTATCGTCTTCGCTGTCGTCGCGTTCGTTCTTCTGGGCCTCCCACGGGTGGTAAAAGTAGGCGAACAGGCGGCGCACTTGGTCGCGGCGGGCCAGTCCCACGTAGATCGCCATGTCCACGCGGCCCGGCCGGGTGAGCGCCGGGTCGAGCAGCTCGCGGTGGTTGGTGGTCATCAGCACCAGCGAGCCCTCGAACGCCACGGCACCGTCGAGCGCGTTGAGCAGGCCGCTGAAGGTGACCTTGTTCTTGCTGTGCGACTGGTCGACGTTCTTCGTGCGCTGGATGAAGGCGGCGTCGATGTCCTCCAGCAGGAGGATGCTGCCCTTGGGCATCTTGCGCAGGAACTCCTGGAGCGAGTCGTCGTCGAGGCTCGCGCTGGCCAGGCTGCACACGCACAGGTTGAGGCCCAGCTCGCCAGCCAGAGCCGTGGCGAAGCTGCTCTTGCCGCAGCCGGGCTCGCCGTAGAGCATGTAGCCGCGCCGGTGCGGAATGCCGCGCCGCTTGTACCACTCGCCCATGGCCAGGAACTCGCGCACGTCGGCCACCAGCTCCTCGACCACGCCCTCCGGGAAGTGCACCGACGCGATGGCGCGCCTCTCGACAGCCATGAGTTTGCGCCAGCTGC